AAAGCTTGAGATCGAGGCATTGAAGTTTATCTCTCCAAGTAATGTCGGCGAATCGATAGTACCATTTATTAACTTAATTAAGAAGGAACCACCGAGTATACATCTACGTTTTTTTTCAAGTGACGGCAAGGCTAGCAAAAGCAATCTGTTTTCGTAACGAAGCAAGGAGACTATAGGTCCCAACCGAAATTGAAGGGCAAAGAGCTGAAATTAATTTATAATAATAATAATTTTACAAGTTAGCCTAAAAGTAGACCGCCATAATTTTTTTTTTATTATCAAATTAAACAAAACAGTAGCTAAATTTGCTGCTAATTTACAGAATGAACGTAATACTCTATGCTATTTACAAGCGAACATAATACTCTATGCTATTTACAGAAAGAACGTAATACTCTATGCTATTTACAGAAAGAACGTAATACTCTATGCTAATTTGCAAGGCAGTCGGCACAAGTCCCCCAATTTTATATTTTTTATTACTTGGCAACGGTATTTGTCCAAACTAGAAAACTAGTTACTAGTTACTACTAGTAGTTATTATGGAGCGTTAGCAACGCAAACATAGAATTGATAGTGTCAGGACTACTTTTGAATATTTAACAGACTGAATGGCGTTACCATTTAAGTTGTTAAATTGGGTATTTAACTATTTAACGAGCTGCCATTTCTTTACAATTTTTTTATTTATGATAAGCGACTCTGTGCTTTGCCTCAGCAGGGAATTTAGCACACGTTTGCTAAAGTGTATTCGCAAAAATTGAATGTGTCAAATAATTCATTATTTTGCATTTCTACCCTAGGATTTTTATAGAAAAATTTTCTTAAATTTAACTAATCGCAAGTAATCTTTTATAAAAATAACTAAAAAAAGGAAAATTTCTGCAAAATGTTAATCAAAGTAAAGGTTTGTGACCGCATTGTTATTCACCAGTGGTTATTTGCCCATAGAAGGCATAAAAAATCTTGTAAATCTTTGTATCTAATTATGACGGCAGCATCCTAATGTATTTACAGACTCTAACTGGCAAAGAAATAGAGATCGATATAGAACCTACAGATAAGGTTGATCGTATCAAAGAGCGTGTAGAAGAGAAGGAAGGCATTCCACCTCAACAACAACGTTTAATTTTCTCGGGCAAACAAATGTGAGTAGAATTAAAAACACAATAATAATAAATCCAGAAATAATTCTCGCAAGTGTTTAAACACACAGGAATGATGACAAAACTGCTGCCGATTATAAAGTTCAAGGCGGTTCTGTGCTGCACTTGGTATTGGCTCTACGAGGAGGCAGTCAAAATTAAGATTTTTCGTTCCTCATTTATAATATTAGGCCTCCAAGTACGGCACCCGGTTATATATTATAAAAATGATGACCTTTTTATTTGTGTAAAATAAATTATAGGGCATTAACTATTTAAGTACTCATTTATATTTTTAAAAGTCATTAAAATTTAAAGAAAAAAATTGTGGAAATATATCAACTTTCCTTCTTTAGAAAACCCACCAGTAATCTATTTTTTGGAGTACAATCTTCCGGCTTTAAACGCGTTAAAATTACTTCATAACCTGCGTCTTCGGCTTGCAATTTGCGATCAGTATCCACGATATCCATACAAAGTTGCCCTTGTTTTGTTATCTCAGGTTTACAGTTTAAAGTTCCAAGTTCATGTGCTTGATCGGCAGTATGTGCTACATACATAAAATCTTTCTCCGATAAAACCTGGCGAAATTGCTTACTCAATGGATATGTAATATGCGGCATCGATTGTAAGGAACCATAACAGCACGGACAGCACACAAAGTTCGCTTTAGCTTGCCGGCATTGTTGCAGAACTATGTCTGTGGCTGTGCCACAAGCATGCAAGGATGTACCTATATTAAACTTACCCTTAAAATAATCTATATTGCACTGGTAGAACTTTATATTAGACAATTTCAGTTCTAGAGCTCGCAGTTTTGCTCTCTGCAGAGATTCCGGTTTATTTTCCATAAGTATTATTGTACATTGCGGTAAATGCAAAGCCAATAGTATTCCTAAATGACCAGTACCGCTACAAAAATCGATAATTCGGTTTCCTGGCTCAGCCAAAGAAATAGCAGCATTTGCCAAATTCTCTAATTGTTGTCGCTTCCTTTCTAATCTTTCTTCTGGTAAAGCACAACTTTTGGCATGGGAAGGCTCTATCCTTTGCCAATCTATACTCTTCTGGTCAAAAGTTTTAGAATAATCACTATTGTAATTCAATCGTAGAGTTTGCAATTTATTCAGTGTTGCGTCCACATCCCTTTGCGCGGTAAAAACGCGTTTGCGAGGCCTATAACGTTTAGGATCACTTTTATATAAACTTTTAGACTCACAGTTAGGTATCGACAAGATTGAAACTAGGTCTTCTTTAACGCTATGAACACTTGGATATAAACAAAGCTCATCTAAAATGGCTTTACATCTAGGTTCATGTTTGTCAACCTAAAATAAAAAAAGGGATGCTTTTAAAAACCGAAAGTTAATTACATAACACACAATAATACAAACCTCCTCAAACCATGAACAAGTCAAAGGAAAATTTGACAGCATATTCCGGCTAAAGTGAAATATTAAACGCAGACAAGGATATAATATTAAATCGGCTATTGTGAACAATACACCTTCAGCAAACTTGTGCTCTATCTGCAATTCCTCTTTAGGTATTTTACAATCTATCGTTATCCTTGTCTTTTTAATATCATTGTTTAATTGGCTTTTTGTTTGGTTGGCTCGCTCCCTGGCCAGTTTATATATATTATGCATTCGCACAGGTTCATTCATGTGCTTCTCAAATCGTACCGCTTCAACAGGAATTTCTTTTATGCTTTGTTTTAGACTGTTACAAAGTAATAACTGTTTTAAGGCTTTCACTATATCAACCTCGCAGAATCTTGTCCACACCGAAGTTTCAGAAGGTGACATCAAACAGCCTTCCTTAAAACCTAAAAGTTTGCGGACTTGTACATTTTTTTGCCGGGCAACCAGCTCTCGACATACGGCACATAAACCCGCTACAAAAATATCTCCATTCTTATAATAAACAGGTAAGCGCAGGTCTTGTATGGCTTGGTACGTGTAAGAATCTTCGCACATTATTTTTTGCGGTTGACTGTGCAAATAATGCGTAAAATTAAGTTGCATTTCACAGCTTAAATTTGAAGGCACGAATTTTATTTTAACATTTGGCGGACTTTCTAAATAACGGTAGACATAGAGGGCTATAAACGATGGTATGGTAGTAAAGACTTCTACTTCGTCATTTGATAAATTATTTGTAAGAATTTCTAAATATAAATAATCCATTTATTTAAATTAAACTCAAAAATATAATGCAAATGCCTTGCTATCAAAAAACTTTAAATTGAGGTTAGGTTTTCATTCAAGCAAACAGCTGTTTCGTAGTAGTAGGGTAATCTAAAAAACATTAATCATATCGTTTAGTGAGCTTGGTAAAGAAGCTTTTAGCTTCTTATATTATTTGTACAAATTAATTTTTATTTAATATTTAGTCGAGCGCTTACTTCAGCATTACGGCGGTTTGTGGTTTGTTGTTAATATATGTCGGTGGCTTTGTATTTTCATAGCTAATCGTATAGTTTAAAATAAAAAAAGAACATCATAACTTTGCAAAATAAGTCAAATAATTGTTAAGGTAAAATGGAAATTCGTTGGTTTAAAAACACGCTAAAGTGACCCTGTGAAGCTATTTAAAACATAAATTTTGTAGGTCAAATTTAAAACTACCGATAAATATGTGTAATACCGGGAGAAAAACTTAATTAATTTATATAAAGCCCTCTCTCTCTCTCTCTCTCTCTCTCTCTCTCTCTCTCTCTCTTTATCTCTCTGAATGAAGTTTTCAAACACAAAAACCATAAAAACTATTATGCAAAGCATCATCAAAATATGACGGGAAGTAGAGATTTAATGATAAACTTTATTTACATAGCATGAGATAGTTTTAAGGTGACCCTCTGCATTTAAGTTTAAAAAAGAAATAAATATTAAATAAATAAGTGGAGAATGATTAAATATTAAACTATTACATAAAGAAGAATTTGTTTGGAGAAGATTATCATAAGGAGAGATATTTGATCTGATTGCAGACAATAAAAAAGAATTCCTACGGGGTAGAAATGTTAGTCTTTTTAAGCGTAATGAATGTAGCACTTAAAAGAAATTTTGTTCGGTTTTTAATAGGAAGTTGCGTTATATAACTCAGATTTCGGTTTCGAAATATGAACAAGTATTACGGATGGATAGACAAATGTTGCAAGGTGTTACTTTACAACTTTTGAATTTAAAGGCATTCTTTTAACTCCCACCTTTTCAGTACTCTAAAATCAAAAGAATTGCAAAAAAAAGAATAATTGATCTCCATGGTGAGTTGTGAACACATGCGGCGTTTGAAAGGAGAATAAATCCAATTCATATCTATAAAGTATTGTATAAGTCTTTTGAGTTTTTTTTATGCAGCCACCTTAATTCTTGTTGACATTCTTTTTATTGTAGCTATACATTCAGAAGTTAATAATTAAATTAGATTTATTGTGCGAAAATTGAAATGAAATAACAATAATAGGAGCGATGTTGTTATGTGTGTGTGCGCGTTTTTTAAGTAAAGAACAGATTTTAAAAAATCAATTAAGAAGATAGGAAATATTCCATAACAAATTTATAATAATACGATGGCAATGACCATAGAAGTATGATGAGAAGTAAACAAATGCATTCATTTATCGTATAAGGTCTTTGAACAATTCAGCGAAACATTTATATTTTAGATTTATGTCTTACTTAAATAAACTATATTTCTAAAGATAACGCGACATATATCAGAGTAATAACTGATAAAAATTCATTCTCTTATTCAGTGAAGGCAGCTCAGCAAGTTAATTTACCTTCTTCTAACCTAAATAAATATCAGATGTAATGCAAAATTGATAAGAGAAGGGAGAGATAAATAACAAAATAAACAGTTTAAGCAGATCATTTAATTAAAGTAAAGCGACTGGTTTCACGCTACTGGTTAATTTCAAATATTTTGAAAATTAATTCAAATAAGTAAAACTAATAAAAAGAGGTAAGAACTTTGTATAACTTATTTTAAACTGAAATGAAAGCTAAAATAAAAAAATTAAAAAACTTTCTACAAACAGAGTTTTTAAAAAACTCACAATGTTGATTATTAAAAAAAAAAAATTCACAGTATGTATAAAATTTACTATGAAAACTTTTTCTGGTATAATTATTATAAAATAATTTTTGAGAATAATTTTACGAAGCGATAATAAGTTTGTGTGTCAATTTAAGAATCACTTTCTGTAAAAAGTGAGTCCATCTCAAGTCCTTACGGGTATTGCATACAACCACATAAATTTAATACATCCACGTATCTCAGAAGCTTGTCCGTCCATCTGTCCGTCTTGTTTTTTTGTGTTTAACCTAGAATTAGCAATTGTTAGGATATTGTGAAGTAGTGTTTTGGCCTTTGAACGAACACAAAATAAATGCCGCTATAAATCTTTTCAGAAAATAGGCTAAAATATTATTCTTTTGCTAAGCCGCAAAATTTGCGTCCATGGAGAGCGGTTAAAATTCGTTGATTGTATAAAAACAATTTGAAAAAAAATGAATCCTGGAGAAATTGCCCCTAGAAGGCTTTCAATATAGTAGTAAGCATTAGCCTGATTGTAGTCTGTCTATATTAACGGCGAACATGTAAACTAAAAAAAATGGTATTTTTTAACGACACTTCCCGATACTATTTTAACAGAAGACACACCTGCAGTTTAATAATACCGCCGTAGCTGGAACAAATGAATTCGTCTTTACGTTGCATAACCACACCGTATAAAAGTAATAAATATGTAAATAAGTCATAGAAAATGTTTTAAATATAACTTCTTTTTGATATTATTATACAATGATGACGCAAAATTAAACAATTAGAAGAATGAAGTTTAATTGACTAAAATTAAATGTGCGGATTGATAATTCATAGGACATACATTTTTTTATACCCTACACCACTTGTTGTACCACATATATTAAGTTTGCGCTTTTATTATACCGATCGATTCAGACAATGATTAAGCTTGTCTTTTCTTCTTGCATTGTCAATGAGAAGATCAAATTAGTAAATTATATTCGACTATGGTCGATTCGTGTATACCCACCACTCGACCAAAATCAAAAAAAAAATGAAATTCTAGCATATTGGGTGGGCCTGGCCAATGTTTCCATTTTGTGGAGATACTGTAGCAGCACCCTCGAAATACACAAATTTTTATTCTTGTACTTTGTGACTAACGAGCAAAAACCTATTTTTTGTTTTTGAAAACAAGGATGTTATCACTTTATATTGCACTCTGGGCGTGTCCGGTTTGGCGCGTTCTAAATACCAGCGTACGTACAACAACTTTTGATGTTTTTGGCCAAATTTAAAGCTGATATCGTAATTTTTTCGGTCAAAAGAACTTTCATCGCAGGCAAGTAAACAGATGGACTAAAGGAGAGATAAACATGCGTCGATCGGTTCACGATACAATTTTTGCTAAGACTATTATATGTTTCAAAGTTAACTCGTAATTAAATATAACTTTCTGTTCTCTCTTATCTCTTTTTTTTTTCTTTAGAACATTCTGAAATACTATGGCTGATACCTGGAATAACGTTGAATTGTCGAATATATCGCGTCGTAAATCGTATACTTTGAATCACGATTATGACGTGACTTCGAAAGACTCGAGCAATCACAATAACAATCATAAAAAGGAGACCAATGAAGCAGTGATCAAACCTCCTCCGGAGACAGTAATTTTAGAGCCTGGTTCCAATATCAAGCCTAAGGTGACCAACGACGATGTAGAGTCTCTATTGAGGCGTCTATATGGTGTCACAATTGGTGAAATCACCGAACTAATTTCCTACGACGATCGTAACTATTTCGTTAAAGAAGATCCGTAAGTGTTAGATTAGGAAATTTCTTAAGCCTTTTAGTTTCGAAAATTGAAAAAATTCGCAATATTAAAAGAGATTTCTGATAAAAATACGCTTCGCTCTTTGGCTAATGCCTTGATGTTACGTCAAATGTCTATTACCAAGTATATATAACATAAAACATTTAGCCCGTTCTTTACATTATCTCAGTTTGTCTCGCTTTATCGGACAACACGATTTATTCTTGTTCACCACATATGCTGGGAAAGACACTTGATATGGAAGATTGTGTGCTCGAGGAATATACAGCTTCGTCGATATCAACGTTCTCTTCATATTTTGCTATTATTGCTCCACTATCAATTTGCTTCCCTTCTTATTCTGCTATGTTCATCTTCTTCAAACCTTTATAATATTTTGCAATGCTTTGTATTTCTTCAGTTACATTACAAAGATTTTTTAATGCTTATTGGCAAAAGATGAAACTTCACTTAAACATTAATCTCGACTCGTCTATTGGGAACTATTAACGCCCACCTGCTCTTTATTGAAACTCGCTTCCGAAGATTTCTTTAATACTGAAAGGGATTGAACACAGATTTCTTTACAATTGTTCTTGGATTTTTTTCCATTCATAACAGCATTCGTTACCTTCGACAACAATTTTAAAGTGCTTGTACACTTACCGCAAAGAGACGGATATTTATAGATCGAGCTTATTTCGAATTCTTCCAAATGCAAACTGACTGAAGCGGTTTTGCTAGAAATCCCTCTTCAACCGTCTGCTTCTCAAATATTTGCACACCATATGGTTTTCCCGGCAACCTTTACCCAACTATTTTCTGATTATCAGCTCTCGACTTGTTCAAAAGCAAAAGAAATGAAATCGACCAAAGCTAAGTGATAAGTATCGTGATCATTGAGTGATAAGTCGGCGTTTGTGCAATAACTTTGTTCGTCTTAAATCTCAACGCATTTCTGTCCCAAATTTTAGGTCGTTTGGATCCTTGCTATTCAAGACACAACACCCTTTTCTAGCAGTGGAATTGTGAGTCACATCATGGCATGAGTCGCTGTAAAAAAGGAAAGGAGTTAATTCTAACATCATGACTATACAAAGAAACTTTCGTCTGTCTTAATTATTAATGTGAAGTAAGGTGAAACAAGTTAAAGCACTATAGTGACCCACAACTCACGATTAAATAACCTATACCATTCTATGTGTGTTCATATAATGACTTTTTAGAATAGGGCGTTACATGGGGATTGGTCGAAGAAATGGACTTATTCGACCCATTTTCAATAGCGCCACTGTACCAAATTTCATCAGAATATCTCAAAAATTACGTTTTGTAGCTTGAATAAAAACTACTCGGACAGACAGACTTAAATTGATGTAGAAAATGAATCTGAATCGATTGGTGCAATAAAAGGCGGGTCTGAAGGCCGATAGGCAAGCGAGACGAACATAGACATTATGTACGTATAATGTTAGGAATTGTTGTAGGGATTTACGACACTGCCAGTTTACATATAATATTTATTAAATTGCAAATCTATTAAACAACAAATTAATCGAGGCTATTATATTTATTTTTAGTAATGTTAAGAATCCGTTTATATTAACCCATTGCACTCATGGTTATGTTCTGAAAATAATAAACTCTTTGGATTCTAAGAAAGTGGACTTTATAGATGCTCAAAGTCAATTACTGTTATATTTAGGTAAGTTTTCATATTTGTATAATGCTGCTTATAATAACAGAAACCAATAAGAAAATTATAAACGGCTTGGGCCGAATCTCGCATACCCACCACAATCCTTTTCCCATTCTACTCTCCCAGTTCTTTTATTTGATACCCATATCGGTGGTATTATTAAAACCTGCCACATTCATTTTACAATGAACCCATTTTTAGGCTGATAATATATCTTCATTTGGGAGATGTACATCTGAAACATTGTGTCGTATTTATCTCATAATAAGAAAGCATAAAACATCAAAAAGGTTAAAAAAATAAAATTTAATCACTTGTAAATTTGTGCGGGCTCGGCCGATTTCTTTCCTTTTAACACCTAGGGTTAACACCTAGAGGGTTTCGTAAAGTAAATCTGGAAAAATTTCAGCCTTTTAACTTTTATAATTTCTGAGTGACGAGCAAAACCCACAAAGTTTTGTTAAGAAAAACGGAGTTGCGCTAAGTTTATACTCCACTGCACGTTTCTGCTCCGGCCCATTTTCAAAACCAAGCTGCGTGCAAAAGCTGTTCTTCTTTTTATCCAATTTGAAGCCGATATGTTCATTTTTGCGACCAGGGGAGTGTCAGAAACAAATACTACCCAAACGGACAGACATGGTTAAATCAATTCAGAATTTCACGCTGATCAGGAATATATATACTTTAAAAGGTCGCTGAAACCTTATTTTGGGTGTTACATACGTTACGAAAGAAAACAAAATGAGTTTATCCCCGTCTTACAATGCTGAGTATAAAGATATAAATATGAAGTCCTCTCATTAAAGACATTCGCAAATTTGAAAATAACTCCTTTTTTACTTGGCTTATTTATGTTACGTTAATTAATAATTTTATTATTTATAAAATTATTTTTCTGTATTTTCGAAGCGAAACAAAAAATTCAATGTCCCCGGCCGGTGCCAAATGTTAACGGTAAATATTATTCTATCGAAACAATAAACGAAGGTGAACATGTGATACGTCTATTGGAATTTATACCGGGCAAACTGTTTCATGAAGTTCCTATTACAAACTATTTATTATTTCAAAGTGGCGAATATTTGGCGAAATTGAATAAAGCTTTACGGGTAAGTTTAAAGGCAGAGAATCGGTTTAGACTGAATTTTTAAGTATCTAAACCATACAGAAAATAAGCGAAAACATTATAGTGGTACGCAGTCACCATTAAATACCCTACATCATCCCGGTTAATGCAGATACTCATATAACGATCTTCCCAAATAAGGGTTTATATGGGAGGTGAACGAAAAATGTGTCTTACCCATTCCATATCCAAAGTTGCTCATCCTTGAGCCAGAATAAAGCGTTCTACGAAATTTCCTCAAAATATTTTAAAAGTTGCGACCTGGAGGTTAATTACAAGAAAAACAGACAAGCAGCTTAGATGGACGGACAAGCTTAGAACTATTTAAAAAGTGATTCCAAATCGATCGGTATTATAAAAACTGGATCTACATGACGTCCTTCTGGATTTTACATACGTCCGCACATATATTAATGTAATAAATATCAATTCCCTTGCTACTAATCGTTACATTTACGTGACGCAGACATTTGTTATTACAGCCCGGCGTCACATGCATGTAAGGGACGTGCTTACACAATTTATTGAGACCTGTTTAAATCTGTCGTATATTGGGCAAAATTCTGAAATTCGAAACCGATAAATATTCAAAAACTAGGGTTGGTTTATAACTGTCGAAGTGTCGAGTACTAGTAGCGAGTTTACAACTGTCGATAAAGTATATGATTTTCTTCGTATCGAATGAATGAGGGATCCTTCGATAAAATATTCAAAGGGCAAATGAAGCAAAACATCTTCACGACGTGCACATCTTTGATACGATTAATGGATATAAGGGCTGACTATTACCATTAATACAGGAAACTCCAAAATAGTAAGCAAAAGCCTAGTATTACGCGATATCATAAAGTAAAAGAGTATTATTCTAAATTATCAGTGCGGTAGAGTAAGTGCTGAAATTAGCAAGCAAGTGATTAAATTTAAAAGGAATGCATGCTTATGGCATTCTTGATGGGCTGTGATGAACGTGTACCCCTGGAGATTCTGGTAGCGAATGGGTTAATCTCATTTATATAATGCCTTCGCCTCAAATTGGAAGCAATTTTATTTGTACTCTTGCATATATATACTATTGTTATTATTATTAATTTAGTCAGAGAAATAAATTGTAAGTGCTAAAGTGATACCATTTTTTTAGGTTATCGGCTTTACTGAACACTCTACCGCATATGAAATTTGAATCCACGACCATTGATTTTTTACCCGAGAATATATAATATGACACAAACATGATTATATGAACAATATGAAATATTTCGTTTCAAACCCTCATTTAAATACGTTTAGAAATCTTTTCAACTGAATTCAGTTCTCATCATAAATACAATTTTGTTTAGTCATTGGAGCAAAACTACTATTACACATTAATGCAAATTCGATGAAGGATAAAAATAACAAGTCATTCTATCTAATCATTTCATTACTTGTTGATATCTTTCTCTTAGAATTTTCAACACATTGCTTACGAAAGCCACCAAAGCACTTGGCAGTTGCAAATGGTTCCAAAATTGCGTGACTTCCTTTTCGTTTTGAAGGATTCTAGTCGGAAACTGTTGATAGAAGAAATCATAGAATCTTTCGAAAAAAACGTTTTAGAAAAGTTAAACACATTCGCGATGCAGATAATTCACGGAGATTACAATGAGCAGAATATTATTGTGCAGTTATCGGATAATGGCAAACATTACAAAGTTGTGGGCGTTATCGATTTTGGCGACACGAACAAATCTCCCATGATCTTTGAAGTTGCAATAGGCCTTACTTACTTACTCTTACAAGCTAAAAATTTGGAGAGCGGCGGAATTTTCTTAGCTGGTTTTGAAACTATACAACCTTTGATAGCAAATGAAAAACATTACCTCAAATATTGCGTAGCAGCACGTTTGGCTCAAAGCTTGGTTATGGGTGCTTACACGCATTCGATAGATACGACCAATGAATATGTTTTGGTAACCCAAGAACAAGGCTGGAAACTAATCGAAGAATTGTGGTGTGAACGTTTCAAAGAAATTGACGATATCTGGGAAAATTCGGCAAATAAATATTTAACACAAAGCTGTAAATGAAAGATAAACGGGGAAGCATATAGAAAATGCGTTTGACTTCGGTATAAGTTAATTAATTCAATGAAACTTCAATGTAAACTTTAATAAAATGTCTTGTCAATTATATAAAACATAAGTGGTAGACACGCAAACATTTCATTAATTTCAGACATTTATATGTTTAAATTCGTTTTTGACGAGGGAGACGAAATAAAACGGAGTCAGCTAATCGATGCTTTTCTTGCTTACAAAAACGACTATAAAGAGGAGATAAAAAAATTATAAGCGAATTAATGTGCATATGTGACATATTCTTTATAGTGTTCCGTCAATCGAAACTATTTACACATTTCTTTTTGGATAGTCGAGACCTGTCTAAGCAATATATCATGCCAAGTTGTAATAATAATTTATTCTAACTTCAGATGTCGCAAACGAAAAAAATGTCGCCCATTTTAGTGCTCGGAAAAATTGAAGACTTATTATTTGTTTCAAATTTGAATTAAATTTATTTCAAATCCAAATTTGTGGACGTGTTTGCTGACCATTTGCATACAAATTTAGCCAAAATTTAATTTTCTACCGTATTCACTGTTGATCTTTAATTATATTGCAGTGTTGCCAATTTAAAAAATAATTTTGTTTTGTGATCCTACTACAGAGATGTGTGAATATATTCAAATTTCCTTTAAGCATAAATATAAAAAAAAGCCATTCTTTGTTCTCAATTTTAACTTTTATTATATCTATATACAGTTTCTAGTCTTTCAAATTAAATTCTATTCCTAAAACAATTTAAAGCCTTTACACAATAAATTTCCTACACATGCTACATTTACATGATTTATATTTAAAAAATATGGATCCCATATACAACATAACACAATACGTTGAAAGATTAGATTTTATCACAATTTCACTTTAGGCCAAAGTTAAAAAATTTTCAATTGAAGAATCATTACAACAAACAAGTGGACATATCAAGTATACAAATGCGAAGAACATTAAATTTTTAACATTCCGTGTTTAAAATATAAACGATAACTATATGATCAAATATAAATTTTAAAAGATTAATTTGTTAATTCATTTACTGTGCTCATGGTAGTTATACTAGTGGTGCCCGAAATTGTTGAAATTGTAGTAGCATCGGTAGAACTATTAGAGATAGGATTAATGGTATCACTATGGACTGAAGTAATGCCGGCTGTTGCCGTAAAAGGCTGTAAACAGCCGTGAGTCGAATTCGCACTCGTTGTTTTGGCAGCTAACGAACGCTGACGCGAAGTGGTGGTAATGCTAACCGAAGAACTTTGTTGACGTTTGCGTTTTTTGAGAAAAACAAATGAGGAATTTAACATTTGTTGCTGCGTTAGCTGGGTGGATGATGTACTGGCAAGCGCTGTGGCCACTACGTGACCACCTTTATTAATGCTTGGTGCGTTTAGCTGCAAATTTTTTTCCAACCAAGGCAAATAAAAATCTTTTCGTTCAATATTGCCTCCTAGACGTGGTATCATCTCTCCGAAAGCCTGTATCGGTAGATCGTGCATAAAGCATATCGTTTGTACGGCTTCGGAAGTGGGATAGAAACTTTGCAGCATCGGTGATTCCTGGTTGTTAGCAATCTCATCTTTGCAATGCCTGCGTTTAAGTCTTTCAATACGTCTTTGCTCACGAATTTGTTGTACGTCCCACTTCTTACGTCTCTTCTCATCGACTTCTAATTTAGCGTGGCGTTTTAGAAAGCTTTCATCTGAAAGGTCTTCCGTGCCTTCAATACAATATGAAGGTGTCAACTCATGTTCAGTCCATTTTGGTATTTCCAGCATAGGAGCATCTGCATCTAGTGCTTTGGCTTCAGCTTTAATAAATTCGTAATTATTCTCAGCAGCAAAAGCCTCATCCTCCCACTCCCGCGCGCAATAAAGCTGAGAGGTAGATAAATAAGAACGTTTGACCTTTGCTCGCGTAGGGACCTGGGAATGTGTTGTGGAGCTCAAAAGATTTATACTATAGGTGTGCTTTGTTTCGCTTACGCTTACAACAGGTTTAGACGGGGAGACAGGTGTTGCCGATATGGAACGCTATAAGTAATCTTTTATTGGTATCTTTAAGGAAATTTAAGTCATTTACTTACTTTTTCAGTCTCAGTGGCAGAATCGCAACTAGCCGACTCATCCGTGTGGAAATCTGGCGCGTGCCATCGCATTAAGGGCATTTGTTTGCCGCGACTAGGTGCTGGAGGGGTCGCACTTACTGACTGTATTTTGGCGTTTGAAGTAAGTGCCTTATATGTTGCTTGCCGTTTGTTTGTAAAGGCCATTGAGACACTTGGCTTGGCACCTCGCGGTATTGTCAAACACAATTTAGCCGCCTGTCGTAATCTTAGACGTTTACTTTGAACAGCCAAAACCTCATTACTATCTTCTGTACTGTTGCCTGTATCTTCAAAATCCTCTATTTCAATGGCTGGTGTGTTAGTTTTGCTCTCATTTGTGTCCTGATCGCGCTCTATTTCAAAGAATAAATTTTCGCCATTACGACAATTGTCCTCATCATCATTATTTTCATCGTCCATAATCTCATCGTTGTCAGGGTTTTCTTCCTCCTCCTCTTCCTCTTCTTCCATGTCATCTTCTTCATCCTCTTCTTCAATCTCGTCATTTTCTGTATCAGTAGTTTGACTTTGAGGACTTCGTAGTGACTGCAACCTTTTTGCAGGCGTACTAACACGCTGCAAAATTATTTTGCTTATCAATTTTCCGTTACACTCCCCAATAATATTAGGTTGTTGCACTCCCGTCGTCGCATTAACTGCAGAATTGTTTATTGTTTGCAGTAAAGTAACCGTAGAATTGTTTGTTACAGCCAATGATGCAGCATTGGATTTGCACTGTATTTTTGCCAACGGTGGTGGCGGTAGTGTGCTAAGTTCTCCACTTCTTTTGATTTGCCTTTGTAATTGTTGTTGCAATTCTTGCGTTTGACTCTCTAAAGAATTGTTGCGCGCTGATAAACGTTCTATTTCTTCGGTTTGCGTCACCAACAGCTTATCTTTGGCTATCAATTGATCACTTTGCTCCTGTATCAAATCCAAATGCAAAATCAGCATCGCCTTCAATTGTTTATTTTCCTTCAATAAGGCCAATACATCAGCATTTGGAGAGCCAGCCCCTCCATTTGCGTTGCCCACAGCTACATTATTGTAACCCTTATTCTGATTCGTATGGCAATACATATGATCCATGTATTTACTATTTGTATTATTGTTATTATTAATGTTATTCGGTGTTTTATTACATTTATTTTCCATATTTCGCGTTATGGAAATGTTTGACAATCAATTCTTTTGCAGTTAATAATTTATTGGTTTTGTTTTTATTCTGACAGTTTACTCCAGTTTATGCTTTACGCTACATTTCGCCCAATTAATGGACAATTGCGCATCTCTTCGTCGTTTTTTGCAACTTATTAATTACGAAAAAATATCGGAGATAATTATTACAAAAAGAAATGGGTTATATATTTTTTGCTTTACAAATTTTTTATCATTCTTGGAAAAATTTAGAATATTAATCAAACTCTTAACTATTTTCTTTAAAATAAATTGTAAATATTATAAAAATTAACAAAGAAGCAGCTTATATTTTATGCGACACAACTTTTATTTTCTATTGTTTATTTCACCACCGGCTGTGCAGTGTTGCAATAAAATAAGCATAGACGTGAGTGATGACAACTCCTCCTCTTTTTTATCAGTTTTGCAAAAAAATTCTTTTCACGTCGATTATTGGAAAGAGCTATACTCTGCAAAAGGCCTTTGCTTCGTCCGGAAATATAAACAAATAAAAATTTTTCTTTATTTAATCGACAAGTTAAAATGTCATTATTTGGTGATGAAGATGCCGTCAATGATTTGTTGAATGATGACTTGCGTAATTATGACGATTTGCCTGGAGATAATGAAGATGAAACACAATTATTTGATACCAAAGATGAAAATTCGGATGGTGTTAAAGTTGAACCAAAAAAACGCCTTGTACGTAATCCGAGATTACGATTAACCGTTGAAACTTTGAGCGGTCCCAGAGGAATACATACTTTAGAGGATTATTTCGAGAAAATTGTATACAAAGGTAAAGGCTATGAAAAGCAAGATTTAGATGAGATAATGAAACGTTTACAGCATTGGGGACATCGTATGTACCCAACCTATAAATTTGATGATGTTCTTAGCAAAATTGAAGTATTGGGCAAAAAAAAACCTTTACAAGTGCATATGTCGCGCTACCGTTTAGGCTTATTGGAAAGTCTGAAACAAACTGATAAAAACGTTTCTGAAGAAGAGAAAGAAATTGAAGAGGAGACCGACATACCGGTTAATGATGTATATGACGAATTCGATGCTTTATTAGATGAACAAATTGCTATTTCTAAAATAGCGCCCCGCACACCTCAACCAAGCAGCAGTAAATATACAACTGAAGGTGATTCCTTCAGTAGTATTAACTTCACAACACCTAGCTTTTCTAAAGACAATGCGGCGATGTCTACTCCTTATACACACGGGGATAATTTTAATAATAAGGCTAATCCTTTACCACAAACTCAAGCAACTACGGGACAAATAATAAAGGAACTCACATCTGACCAAATGGCGCGCATTGCTGAAAATCGTCGTTTGGCTCAAGAACGATTAGCTAAGCGTTTGGAACAGCTCAAAGAGCAACGTGCTGGCAGTTCATGATTAGAAGAAAATAAAGTAAGCTGTAGTAACAAGGCATCTTCCAAAAGAGAAACATAAAAAGTCTGTGAATACAGTGCACAGTGCATTTTCATTTTGTCATTAACATTAACCTCGTTACTTATATTATTTTATAACGTAAATGCTTTTCAATTGTTCTAATATCCAAATTTCTTAGCCCTTAAGCCGTAATCATCCGGTTGGAAAATAACGCTCTAATCGAATATTATTTTTTATCTTTATTCACAAAATATGTTTTTGTAGTGCTTGTACACAAAGACAGTGACAGGGACATGAAAAACTCAAAAGTGAGCTTATGTCGTTTTAACTACGTTACATTAGCGGAATGATTACATAATTTACAAAATTAAATTCTAATCGCTAATTACTACAAACTTATGAGAGCGTTAACTTGACAATGGCTTCAATCTTCGATTTACAACTTTTTCAAATATCACCTATTGAGAAAATTAAATAAATTCAAACACTCTTACTTTCCTTACATATTCAAGAAGTTGAAAATTTAAATAATAGCTGAGGCAAAAAGCCCAAGATGTCCTTTGTCTGATAAATCAGTGTCTGAATGGATGAAGTTGGTGCGACTTTTATTTGCTTCTCTTGTTGTTTTATTAGGTTAGTCGGTGCTTCGTATTTAGACTGCGGCGATTTTTGTTCATTTATCGTTTCCTCTATCACCCTTAAAAGTCGCTGATATAGAAAGGATTGACGGAATATGGGTTTGGAAAGGCTAAGGTGATCGTCTTTTAATACATAGAAATCACCATAGTCTATGCGCGCCGATTCTTCCGTCACGATATGCAGAGGGAATTTAAATGAGGTTAGCATGGTGGGAGCGCCTTCAGCAATACTGAGAATGTCCACATGACGGAAACAAGTGTGCAGGCATTTCATAAACTCTTGATGTAGCGTCAATAGTTTGGGGGCATCTTCTTCCATCTCTTTCACTTCAATGGATGGTGACAAAATCACTTGCATATGTTGTCTCCATTTGGCAATAGGAGAGCCGCGGTGAGGAGTACCTAAGAAAACAATACTGCGGGTACTTTCAGCTAACTGTTGTACTTTGGGATCTTTGCTGTCTTTGGCTTTTATCAGAATAAGCTTAGTTAATAAACCACCCATGGAATGTCCTATCCATACTATAGGCCGATTATGTCCCACATCCGAGGTAGCTAAACGCTCCATTAGCGTAGTAGCTCTAACGTCTATATAACCTTGCCCCTTCTCGCATGGGCAATATTTAGAGAAGTTGGACCATTCCGTCAAAGCCGACGTATAATCAATACCGATCACGCGCACGTTCGGGTGATCTTCCGGCAACCACTCCATAGGCCAGCAGTTAGTATAGTCTTCATCATTATCTTCATTTATCCATTTATTGCCGGCAACACTAAATTCACCTGTGCTATCTTCAGATGCTGATAAGGGAACGTCGGGATGGACAACCTCCCAATCCGATTCAAGTTCGGCTTCATTTTGAAGTGTTTCCACCAATTCTTTGGTAGCAACGTCACTAATCTCTAAAGTCTTTGCTGATGGTTTCTTGGCCGCTTTTAAAAGCTTATCTAAAAATTAAGAAAACATTTATTGAAATAACTGTGTTTTTTGAGAGAAAAAGAACCGCTAACCATTTCCTGCTTCTTTTCTTGCTACTCCTGCCGCGGCTTCTTCCATATTTTTAATTTCGTCCTCTTTTGCTTTAGCCTCTTCTTCGTTTGTGGTCGTCGCTGAGTTATTCTTACCGTTGTCGTCGCCATTGCCGTTCATTTTCCACCTTCGTTGTTCGCCCACAAGGAAGACATCGTCTGTTTCGCTGGTATAAAAGGCGTTCTTACCATAAAGACTCAACTCATTCGGCTTCCTATCTTTCTGACGCCAAGTTATAAAAACGCCACCCATGAGGCCGTGAACAAATACTATATCAGCTTTCGGTTTACTAAGCGTTCTAGATCGCGGATGTAAAGGGTAAACGTTTGCAGGGTATGGCGTGTAGTTAGGATCATCGTGATCTAAATTTGCCATAGTTTTGGCCGAAATGACTTGCAAACGTAAATCTGGACACTGCTGCCATTCAGCCAATACTCCAATCCACCCACTGCTGAAGAAATGCTCACCGCTATCGGGCAGCACAGATAAATTTGCCAGAATTTTACATAACGTGGACAATGCCTCATTATCTTCGGCGAAAATCTTACGTAAATCCATTAAATGTACCAGACCTCCCTCCAACATAAACTGCTCTGCTAGGTCAGGATCTTTGGTAACATGATGTAAAAATGACGTTACTTCCTTTAACAAATCACTCTCTTGGACGTTTAGTGTGATTAATTGTTCTTGGGTGAAAAATTCGCATATATCTTCCACCGGATCTTGTTCGGGGAAGTACCTACTAAAAAAATTCTGCACACATTCCTTCTTCTTTTTCATATGCGATAATATGTCATGCAGTTCCGATAAAACATACTTTGGATTTTTTATGCAACCTTTCATGCGTACGGGTACAAACCATCGTGTATCCGCACCAGATCGGGCGAGTGATACAGCTGTTCTGGCGTCACATATTTGAGCCAAATGACGAAAGTCCCAGTCTTTTAAATGATCAATACGAGCTAATTGCCTCACAGCTTTAAGGCGTTCGTGGTGTGAACCATTTTGTGCTATATTCAATAAACGCCAAGCCACTGAATGCTTAACAGCTTTCCACCATTTACCAATAGGATTGATAATGATGCTTATCCACTTCTTTTCATCTTCTTCTTGTTGCTTGAGCTTACGCATCGATTCTTTATAAATGTGATATTTGATATAAATGTAATCAGGTTGTGGTTTCTTTTCAGTCTTCGCAACATTCTCATCAAAAAATTTCGAAAGGAGTCTTCGAAATCTGTGCTTATCGTAGAGAATAAAACCGCAGCTAGAAGAAAAAAATGTTCTTTTTTGATTTATACTATACTTGATTTACATCACGCGTCTATCTGTTCACGTGAATGTGACTGCAATAATTTATTTATACGTGTAATAGCTGAGCAAATGCCGCTATAATTGATAGCTATTATTAAAATACATGTTCTCAATGGCCTTGAATGAAGTCATCAGACAATTAATAAAGCTTTACCCTCCTTCTCTAAACTGAAAACTATCACAACATTCGTTTCATTGTTTCCGTCTCGTTTTAACAAAATCGCATGTTCTGCTTTGGCTACGGCAATGGCATATAATCTGTATGTTTACGTGTATTTGGCCTAATTTCAGTTTTAGGCAACATATATAAAAGTGAAATGGATATCAAAAAATACTGGTTTCCCAGAGAGCTTAAAATTATGAGCAAAAGAACTGTACTTTATAGGTTTTTATAGGTTTTGGTTTCTTGTTTACCGTAAAAACATAGATTTATTTAAAGATTTAAATGATTTATTTTTTTGTTTGTTTGTTTACTTTTCGATATTATTCTTAGCTAACAAATAATAGTGTGCTATTAGCCAACAATCTAATTAAAAATGACGTTTTGCTTTGTAGATTAAAGAAAAACAAAATATTTTGTTGTTGTTTTCTGTAATATTGTTAAACACAATTGCGTGCACGTTCGCAATGATTTAAAAATATTTGTTTACAAAGCCAACGTATACGTAAAAATTCTTCGTATTCGTAAAATATGTTTACTGTTTTATTTATTTATTTATTTTTTTATTGTTTGCAGAAGGAAACGAACACCCTGTTTGCTTTATGAATGACTAACGATATTTGCTCAAACTATTTTTTGGTTAGTCCAAATTTTTATACGAAATGGGTCAGAGGATTTTAGAATCTGAGACTGTAATGTTCTTTTAGATAATATTGTTAGTAGGAAGCCTCATCAATTTTTTAATTTGCATTTCGCTTACGTGGTTAAGATGCCAATGCTGCCTACGGTCTTTGGATAGCGACGCAATGTGCTGCTTAAATTATTCATTGATTTTCTTCTTAGCAAGCTGGAATCGTAGTTGATTGTTCTGCAGCAATTATTAATTCTTACTTTTCCTTTTTTTTTTAACTCTAATTTTGTCAATTTTATGAAGTCACTTTTGATTCGCTAAAATTTTTTCACCAAAAGTTTGTTATTCTTTTGTTCTGAAATTTTGTGCTTACGGAAATGACCAAAAAAATTTTAGTATGTGATGTCAAAAAACGGATCAGGTCTGTGAATCGTCCAAATTTTTTTTAACTTTTTAACTAAAATGTAGTGTTATAGATTATTATTTCCTTCTTTTTTTCTTCGGGCTGTAGATAGGAAAAAAGCTTGTTTGTCAAACAAAAATTTGTTCGAACAACACTGCACTTTTCGTCGCTTTCCTTTTTGTATTTGTATATATGCTTTCAAAAAATTATTAAGCAAGTATAAAAAAGTAATCGTTTTATTTAAGAAATTTGTTATTTTTAACTTTATTGAACTTATCGCTTTGCTTATTTCTTATTGAATGACTGTTTCTGTTCTGTGGTCGCGAGATAAACTCTGCCTTTTATTAACATTGCATTGTCGGCATTGTTGTTGTTTTGATCTTTGCTTTTGTTTTTTATTACGCTTTGTTGTCGTATTATGCTTTAGCATTTTGTTTACATGTGTTTATTTTCTACACACTACTATTTACATTATTGATATAAACTACTTATTATTGCTTTCGTAATTTAGAGGCGCGAATTAATTTTACAGGATGTTTTAGCTAACCACAATTTTTCATGAGAACAATAAGAAAAAAAAAATTCTCTGATTGGCGGAGCAGGTTACTTTTTTGGAGTACTTTTTGGAGTTTTCTATTATATCTTAAAATTGATAAATATGCCTATGCTGTGTGCCTACCCAATCTTACGCGCTCAGTTGTAGCTTTCAATGCGTAACGACGGAAAAGCTGTGATTGGTAAATAAGAAGAGTAATCTTGGGAAGAATGAAGGCAAAAGATTGTTTAATGTTTGAGATGATGTATGTGTTAGGTGCCTATGATACGTTCTAGACTAACATGAGTTTTCTGTCTTGTTGTTTTTGCTTCTTTTTCAAAGTGGTACGTTTTATCATACGATAATAAACCGCATAGAAAACGGGGTAAAAGAAGAGAGGCAAAGTTTTATGAGATATTCCCCCGCTTAAAATATTTTATTTTCATGATTCATTAAAAAATGAACTATTATGTGTGTATGACTATGTAAAATTTGTTTTGAATAACGTTATTAAATGCTAATTTTACTCCAAAAGATCGTCAATTTTTTTTATAATTTCTAAACAAAACCCCAACTTACATACAACCCTGTTTTTGGTAAAGAGAAAACGACAGACGCAGGGCACGATTTTTTTACGTTTTTGTTTCTTACAAATAAAGAAACGGAAAAAAGAGGATAGTGCTTACAATTTGTATTTGTCAAGAAAATTGTTTATTCACAAACTTCTCTTCTTATTGAAAGCATAGTTCGAAAAACAATAAACAGGTCGAAAAAGAAAACATAATTATTACTCAATAATTAATTGAATCACCTTCGTCTTATAAAATTCAAAGTTTATGTGTATATCTGATAAATAACATATTTGGGCGTAAATATTTGTTGTTTTTTTCAATAATAATCGTAAATATGCATGGTACTGATATCTCGGAAGGGGCGAAAGTGGAGAGTAATGTAGAATGTCCAATGGAAAAAGAAAATGCTGTGGCACAGGAAATACAACAACCACCTAAAATTAAGTTAGATACGGTCACCTTTCATCAACGGAGGTTTGATATATATGCCAGACTTGAAGAAGTTGCTGCTATATGTCGAAAACGTTTTGAAGGCCGCAGCGAATTGGCTACCGAAAATGACGAAAGTGTGTTCGAACTTTGTGAAGTATTGGAAGAAGCTTTCCAATATGGTCTAAGACAACAACAACCGACCTTCGTAATTTCTGCGGCTCATCTCTTTCAGAATATGCACGAAATTGTTATTGGTTCCAGATTAGGTCGTAATGGGTTGGCCGATTGCAACGAATTGTGCTTTTGGGATTTTTGTAAGCAGTATTTGACAAATCACGAAAAACAACGTTTTGAGCAATTGAATTTTGTTAGTACAAAATGCGGACGTGGACGGGCCTTTATAAGAGCTTGCCTTAATGAGCATTCGTTGGAGCGCTACTTGCTAATGTGGCTTGCTGATCCAAAGCAATTGGAATCGTATTATACTCATTGGTCTTTGTTAACCGATGAAAACCTCTCTGGAACTTTACCGCATGTAATCAAATCATTGGATACCATTCTGTTTGCCTTGAATGTGGATAAGTGTGAATTAAATTCTCCTTTAAAAACCGCCTACTCTGCTTTCCGATCTCCGGCTGAGAAAAAAGATGAGCCTATTATATATGCCCCAGCGCCGGTTAAAGTGAAAAATAAAACTAAAAATAAAAGCAATGTCGTAGAAAGGCATATTGCAACCGCAAATTCTACGGAAGATTTGCTTAAAAGCTTGCCTATAAAAACCGATAATATTGAATATGTCGACACGAACATTACGGAAGAATATGAGTCAGTTGCAAAGGAGATTTTAATGCCTCTCAACTATTTATCGTCAGCAGTTTCCATAGAAGACAATCCTCGAAAATCTTTAACAGATATTGATATTATTACCAAAAATGATGTTATTAATGGTTCAACATCTTCGATGTGTTCTTCTAATGAAGCGTATATAAACGAAAACAAAAGCGAGTGTTCCTCATTGTATAGTAAAACCTCCTCTTCTCCGTTACAAACAACAGGTTCAGAACAATTAGATGTTTGTCAGCTTGAGCAACATTTGCAATTGGAGAATGAGCTTAAAGAGGCTAACGAACGTTGCAATCTTCTAGAGACCAGAGTTGCTCAATTAAGCTTAGAGAATCGTCAATTGATTAGACGCTTGAAACAACATTTTCAAGAAAGTGGAATAGATCCGACATCTTCCTTTGCCACCAATTTTCTAATAACCATTCCTCATGTAAAATTGCATAAATCTAAACGGCCTACTACCGGAAAGTATTATTTATATGAAATTCACATCACTATGCGTCAAAATTTAGAGCATTGGTCTCTCTGGAGACGTTACAGTGATTTTAATAAACTACACAAGTCTCTACTAAAAACGCATCCTTCCGCGGTCCTTGTTGAGTTTCCAGGCAAAAAACGTTTTGGTAATATGAATAAGCAGTTTGTGGATGAGAGGCGTCAACAATTGCAAATATATCTGCTCAATTTGGTAGAGACTTTACCACAATTGGAGGCTTGCAAATCAAAAGCTGAATTGCAGAAAGTATTTCCATTTCTTCGAGAACGGTAACGAATAATTACTAGCATTAAGTTCTGATCATGGTACAAATTCAAAAGGGATGGAACAGTTTTTAATGCTTTCTTAAAGGAATTACACATCCTGTGTATGTTATTTAATTAAAGCTTCCCATACATAGTATTGTTTGTAATTTAGATAAAGTATGGTATCCAGGAATTATTTATTGTGTATATATTTTTGCTTAATTTAACCGTGCCTTTAATAGATTTAATCTTTTATAAATTTGTTTATTAGTTATTAATTTCCATTTCACTTTTCTTCCACCAGCATACAATAGCGTAGTAGAAATGCCCACTTAACAGATAATTATAAGAGCTTTTGTTAAGGAGAATGGAGTCGGATAAGCTTCTGAAGCTGAATAATAGAAAGCGTAATCAAATTTTTGATACCAAGGGTAAAGCATAAAGGATTTGGGGAACTTGCATGAGAGACATTGCTATTTATAGTGAAAAAAGACAGAGAAGAATATAGAAGCAACAATTAAATAACCGCTAGAAAACATATTCGTTCCGTTTATTTTGGAAATTCATAAAACAAGTTTGGATACGCACTTCAATCGGAGTTGGGGAACATGCACGAGGTAGGTATGTACTTAGACAGAAACCAGGACAGTTAGTGCGTATATTGGTGTTTATAATGAAAAAGCATCCAGGAGAGTGTAGAAGCAACAACTATATGAAGATTAGAAAACATATTCCTTCCGTTTTTAACGTACTTTTCAAATTCATAAAACATGTTTGGATGCAGACTTTAATAAAAAGCCGATGTTGAAATGTTCATTGTTGGCAATCTGTGTATTATATTTAAGTAACTTTTATTAAATAAATACAATAAATAAATAAAGTTAATGTTTATGCCCTCTCTTAATTAATGATATGGAACGATGATGGAAACGTATTGTCAAGGTATGTGTGGAAATGTTCCTAAACAATATCTACCCTAGATCTGAATCGTTCGAGACCGGGATAAATAAAAAAATGCATATAAAAATTGCACATTTCTATTATAATAAGAAAGAATTACGTCAAAATTTCCACGCATCCTCGCCTAACGTTGCCAAATGTTCACAAGTGTACAATATAACTAAACTGCGATGAGTTGGTAGTAATATGGGGCTGTTTTGATCGTAATTTGAGAAAATTGACAGAAAATTTACGATCGACCGATTTTTCACTCGGCAGTGACAAAAATGCATATTTTATCGAAAGCTGTAAACTCTCGAGTCAAACCGGGTTTGACTTATATCGACAACTGTGAAACTGCCTCTGATAATGATCGACTTGCTTGCGATCAAGATCAGTAGCAATAATGCATAGTCTGTAAACTTTCGTAATACTACAAACTAATGTATGGATAACAGTTTTTGTGCAATGGATTGGTTGAATTATGTTATTCGGCAATTAAATCGTTGCTTGTGTAACTTTCCTATTCAATTTGTGATCATTCATTAAATGCTAATATATTTCTAACTGCTAATAACGCAGGAATGTCAATCAATATTGCTGCTTTAGCAAAATCGAAAGAAAATGGTGCAATAATAATTCGATAATTTTTGAAACGACTTTTCCGCTTTTTCAGCGGTCGAATTTTACTATTTTATATAATGATATACAATAACGATTTCAATGATCAATTGTTACTATCGAAATATTTCTTTTGGTTTCTCGCACATACTAATTCTAACACATGTGTGGTATAACTAGCGAACTGTATTGGGACACGGCTTGCCGTTAAATATCCTACCGCTTTACTTACATATGCGAGCTTTGTTTGCCGAGTATGCCGAGGAATTGGAGCTGAGAGCTCTAAAAAGAGCTCTAATTAGAGTACAAGCCCAAGCGTAAGCTAATGAATTCATGAGGCAGAAGCCCTAAGTTTTGTTGTGAGTTCGTCTTCATCCCGATTACGTGCACATATAAATGACCATGAAAAAAAATAATTGAAAATTTTTTTAAAAAATAAAAATATCGTTGCGCGAAAAAAAGCCAAACGAGAAGGAACTAAAATTTATTCGCTGCGATTAAATGCTTGGAAATAAAGGAATTTATTGAATATGATAATAAAATTTATTAATAAAAGTAGAACCGAAACTTTATTAAATTTAAGCCTTAGCGGACGAATATAAATTAGTGAAAGGAAATAAAATGATCAGTTTGCAGAGAAAAAAAAAAAAATAAATAAAAGAATTGTTTTTATGCTCAACACCAATAACGATAACAATAAAAAGTGCAGAGAATGGAACGCTAGGACTTCATGTGTTTATTACCCAAAATTATTTAATTTGAAATAAAGTTCTTTTATAACAAATAAAAACATTTTCTGCGCATGTTCCGTATTCAGCCAACTTGGTTGCATTTTAAGAGAAATCGTATTAAATTAAAGCCGGAAAATTAAAATGTATTAAGACTTTTTTTTTTTTTTGATGATAAATATGTAAGTATTTGTTACAAATCCATTACTAAACTAGAACTTCTGCGCTTAGTAATTTTGCAGAGTGCGTGTGTGTATTGTCACTTTCATTTATCGTCTCATGTTTTCTACCGGTATTATTCATCATGGTGCGTACTTAGGGCCGCTACTTGGTGTGCGCTAAAAATGTAACTGTTGATCGTAATAGCATAAAGCGAATAGAATGGGCGCTTCATCTCGGCTGTGCTGGTGTTTCGGAGCAGCAATTCACTTTCTACACTAAAAACAGAATTTTCAAGTACGCAAGTAATAGTCGTGATAAGGCATTAAATGGAGGTGGCAGTTTCTTACAAACTAAAAATGGTCTCGTGCATATGGAAGCTAAGCTTAATTCGCGTTTGGACAACGGCCTGATGAGTGTAGAGAAGGAGATTTGCGATTTGGCGAATCTTGTATTCTTAATCGATCAAGGAATGTTTATCATCTTCATTACTGTGACTGAGGCAATTCGATAAAGAAAGGGGATAAAAATGATCCATTTGAGTAGAAATACGTATATATCGCTGATATCTCGAAAACTGGACCATGTAGGGTGAAATAGGTTATAGACATTTGAAGGCCTTTTCACATAAGCAAAAGTTATTGAAATATTATGGAGCATTACATGTGACATAAGCATTTTTTCAAAGACGGAAGGTTAAAAAGAATCAAAATGTCGCATTCGTTAGTTCTAGTGTTTAAATGCAATGACACGATAACCAGCCAAAGAGCCTATGCAGCATTATTCCACAAAATTTTGCTTTAAATAGCTCGTGAAAAATATGGGAGAGCTTGATTCAGCTGACAATAGCCATATCATTCATAAAAGTAATAGACGAAAATAGATGAGCAGTAAAGCGCCATCTACTAGAATTCTAGTATTACTCATATCTTAGCCTCTTTATTACCAGAGTATTGAAGACTGTAGACATGGAAGTAAACAATTACAAGTTGATTGGAAACCATTTCGTTTATCTTGGTTTCATAAAGACACAATTTGAATAATTTGCTTTGCCCCATCAGAATGGACAGCTATTGATTTTGCTATTCTGATTAGAACATGCGCATAAGAATGAAATTGGTTACATCTATGTAAAGTTATCTCGGTCTAAAACTTCTGCTCGAATTTATTCATGCCTCTCTAATCTTGTCCGACTACAGCAGTATGCACGAATTTTTGAAAGATCATATCCGTTAGAGGATTCTCTTTTAATTTGAAGGGTTTTTGGACTTTAAACATTTCGGCATAAGGAAGTCGAAATCTTACTAGATGTTAGATATTGGTTTTTAATGTTATAATGCAGAAAATGCATACGCCTAACCTTCTTTTTTAGCATTTGGATTAAACATGAAAGTGATTTTTGGGTCACAGGTTTTTGGAAATATCTTCAAGGGATTGAACATATGAATAAATTATCGGTTTTTTCGAAGTTGTTTTAGTTTCTTGTGCATTGTGGGCATGAAAATTTATTTATAGTAGGAACGGTTATGTGAGAGGGGGTTCCGAAAATCCCCGCGGCCGAACCAAATCTTTCGTACCAAATTAGAATGTCGTTGTGCTAATATAGAATGAGTTTTGTTGACAAATTTTGAAAATGCATAACGACTTTTGAAAATAAAAGGTTATATGGGGAGTGGTCGAAAAAGTGGAGCGATCCAAGCAGTTTTTTCAGCAGCGTTCGTCCTTAGGTCAAAAGATATCAATGCGTGTCAAATTTGGTTCGATACAAGACTAAATGGAGAGACATCGGGCGGACAGGCAAGACGAGCGGTATAATAAAAATTAGGTCTCTATATTAAGCCCTTCAATGTTCTACGTACGTTCGCATAAACTTAATTTACTCTGATGTAGGATTTATTCTGTAGGGAAAATTCAATAAATTTGTATTTAAATAAAACAAATTTTTTCAGCTGAAATGTTTTTGTTTTATTATTATCTTTTATTTAAGAATTCACTTTATCGAAACAAAAAAAAGGATATTCCTTTTTCCTCCCTACGGTCTTTGTTACCCAAAAATTGTATGATATATTCTAATGTTATCCTCTTTTACATAGTTTCTCTTTGTAGTTAGACTTAGAATAAAATTAAAAAGCTTTAGCATTTATACCTTCTTCTTTTTTTTTTTTTTGGATTTGAATGCCAAATATGATATATTTAGAAAAATAGATAATTTTAGTTTTTATGCTTTTATATAATTCTCTTAATTATTACACTTAAAATTTTACATTTAATTAAAAGTTACATCTTATTTTAAGTTGATTAAATAAATCTGTGAAAAAAAAAAATATAAAAAATTAAAAAAAATAACAAAATATCCGAAGAAAATTTTATCAATTTAAAATTGACTTAAAAAACCTATTTTATGTTTTTCTTATATACAAACACAGAATTTGAGTGTTTAATTTTTTTTTTTTTTAAGTCTAACTTATTGAATAAGTGAAAAAAATGAATGTAAGCAAAATAGAAAGAACAAAGATAATAAGAAAAAAAAAAAAAATGCGAAACTTCATTAGTATTATTATTGTAAATATTTAAATTATTAACAATTATTATTTATACTTGATTTTGATTACCGTTACTTATTAATCTGAAATGCAATAAAATCTGTTGTTTTTCTGACAATCAAAGCCAAGACCGCTTCCGTCCAATGGATAAAAAAAAAAAAAAAAATAACCCACACGATTTTTGCTGACACTCCTAAATGTAATTGAACTCAGAAACAGTACTTTTGGTAATGAATTACATTTTCCGAAAAGAAATACGAGAATGTTTATATATGAGCATGTGTTTACATTTTACGTTTTGTATAATTTAGAGTTTTCAACTTAAAACCAAAAAGAGATGATAAACCACACACACACACACACACACACATTTCTAAGTAAAACTTTTTTTTTTTAAAAATCGCTTATTGATGTAAAATCGTAAAATGGTAAAAAAAGGGTAAACATAAAAAAAGAACTTCTCATTACTAATAAATAACTTTAAAAAAAAAAGTAAAGTTCAAAATAAAAATTGTTTAAAGTAAGAACTATCGCATTTAATAGCTAGCATCTAGTAATGATTGGAAAATAATAACATAACCATTTCATAAATAAAAATGATAAAAAGTCTAAATTCTTTTTGCCTTATTAAAAAAATGATGTTTCTCTTAATCTTAAAAAAAAAAAAAAAATCGCCAATATATATCGTAATAGCAAATATACTATGAGATGCTCTACTCATTTGTTTTTTAACCTCTAAATTTTATAATGATATTTGAGTCAGTTATAAAATTTTGTAATCTTCTAAATGAATCGTACAGAGACAATTTGTTTTGGGTGAAAGGAAAGAAAGTTTGAAAACATCGTCGGTCAAAGTTGAGAAAAAACAACCATTAAAAAGGAATTTAAATCAATTATAAATGATAAAAGTAAGAAAAGCTACACATAATTACTTGATATATTCGAAAACGTTACAATGATTTATTTAACTCTTTTCTGTCAGTTCGAGTCCGAGGATCAGATAGCAGAAAGACAGGGTCAGCATGAGGATCTAATTAACAAACCCATTTAAAAACAAGTAAGAAAATTATAGTCAAGCAACGCCGATCGCTACCTACCCTACACCACTTCGCCTACTATAGTTCTCCACTCATTTTGGTAATGAGACACCAAAAAGTACACCGCAAAATACAACAATTTCGGTACAATCTTCACGTACGGAAGAATTCAAATATAGGCGAAGAGTATCCAAATTTGGTACAGTTTATATTTTTACGTTAAATTATTATTATGGGTCAATTTTCATCACCACATATAAAGCCTAGACTTTTCTGCTCTACAAAAGATCAATTTTCGTGGAAATCCTTATTAGGATGCGATCCAAAAAATGGAAAACTTCAGTGTCCATTATATGAGACGGGGCTCAAAAATTGCCCCAGCCTACCCAAAGTATTTATACCAATTTTTTTCCACATAACGACTATTCAGAATAGGACGATATATGGGGATTGGTCGAAGAAGTGAACCGATGCGAACCACATTCAATACCGTTCGTCCTCGGGTCGAAACACGTCACTGTATCAAATTCCATTAAAATATTTCAAAAATTGCGATCTGTAGCTTGAACAAAAATTTAGATTGAGCCACATTAGACGGACAGATGGACAGATAGGCTTAGGTTAATTCAGACTATGATTCTGAATCGATCGGTATAATAAAAGACACCCTACCTTAAGCCCTTCTGCGTGTTACATACGTCCGCACTAACTTAATATATCTCAGTATACTTCATATATATATATATATATATACATTATAAATATATGATATTGTTTAGCTTTTTGGTTTGAAAAAACAATAACTAGGGCATTATAAAATTTTTTAAAAGAAATATATAAAGTAATGTAAAAACGATTCAGTGAAGGAAAACAATGCAATGAACTATCAGAGACCGTACATACATATTATTGAAATATAATCGATTATGAAAGTAAAAATTTTTTTATCAGTAATTTGCTATAAAAAACCGCGTATATTAAAAAAAATTATTAATAAGAAAAATAATTTTTTTTTTTTATAGTGGATATAAATAGTATAAAAATTGCGCTTTGCTTCAATTTCCAAGTGTAGATAGTGTAAAAATAAAAAAGAAATGCGTATTTCAAAATAAGTTCTACTATGAAAGACGTTACACAAAAGAAAATCAAAAAAAAGAAAAGCGAAAAAATTTGCGGTAAATTGATAGTTAACAATAAGTGAAAACATAGCAACTCGTTGAAATCTGTCCGACGATACAGACGCCTTAAGAGATTATTTAATAATTTAAAAAAAATTTTAAAAAAATCAAAGAAAAGAAGGAAGAAAAAGAACAATGGAAAAACCAGGCAATAAACAAACCAAGGAGTTATTTGTTTAGATAACTGCCATAAAAAAAAAAAAAAGTTGGAAAAATTGAAAAGAAACTCCAATATTCCAAGCAATGCAACAATCTCAAATAAAATAACTGTTTAAAAAAAAAGCGCAAAAATATTTACTTAAAAACACCAATGAAAGCTAAAAAATAATATAAAGGAGAAAGCGCGTACCAATAAAAAAAGATACATAGGGCTTTTGTGAGGCGAAAAAAAAGAATTGTCCCCATGTTTAACGCAACAATTGAAAATTTTTTTGTTTGCAATGAGAGCCAATTTTTAACAATTCAATCAACGAGGAAGAAAAACGGTTTTCATCTCTTTTTACGATTAATATGAATTAAATGGTGTAGGTGCACGACATTTTCTGAAACTATTGAGCTAAATGTCTGAGAAAACAAAAGAATTTTAAAGTTTATTATAGCTAAGACTACATTCTAAGTTAGGATTGTCTTGGGCATTGATATTGTTGATTTGCTCATTGAATTCATTACCAACGATTAATAACTCTTTGCTGCTTCGTCGCTTCTTGGAAGGTGGGTATATATCATTATTGCTACTGGTTTGGCTGTTACTTGCTTGGGATGTGACACAACTTAATTCTACATTCTGTTCTTCGACGCTTGAATAACGTTTCTGTTTATTTAAAGCCAAACAAGTGCCACTGTTTCTATTATTGCTAGCATTTATAACATTATTAAAAGTTGCTGTTGTTGATATCGTGTTTGCTGTTAGTTGATGGCTTTTAGTGCTGGTTATAGCATTGACCATTTCAGCTTCTACTGATGGGGTCATTAGAGGTGATAAAGGAGCTTGATTTGTGTCTGAATCCTCAAATTCTTCTTCGACTTTTTGATCTGCCAGATCGTCTTCAATCGTTTCATTCGAATCCGTATTCCAGGTGACTTGAGCACCAGGAAACACGTAAGAAGCGCTACCGTCGTGACAATAATAAGTACCTTTAAATAAACGATCAGCTGCACTTTGCTGCGGTGAAGATGGTTGTTGTGGCCTGCATTTCAATATATATGGTTCTTGGGGGTTGTTTGTGGATGTTTCTGCATTTCTTTCCTTGCAAATTTTGTCCAACGAAGTCCTTGAAATGGTGCTAGTCGAACTTGTAGTTGTAATTTGTAAATAATTACCGTTGCGCGTTCCTCCAGAATCACCTAAGGTGTTGAGAGGCAGAGGTAAAGCTTGATTTGAAGCGTCTCCTTGTATGCCACTATCTTTAGATGAATCTATGGATAAATAGCGATAATCTCGAGAACAAGCGAAGCTCGTAGACGCCTCTGGTTCTTCTATTAAATCGGGTGATAAAAATTCCACTTTCTTTGGGGCTAACAAAGCTGCGGTCGATGAGGAGGAATCGAAGCCGCTATCAGAATAAGTACCTGTTGACCTCATAGTTAGCTCAATGGAATTATTTGATTTATGTTCGTCTTCACAATCCGCAGCTAAACATCTAGATTCATCTAGTTCTGTGTCTTTCTCCTCATCCAGAGGCATTAATTCTTTGCTTTCGCTTAGAATTTCATCATTGAAACAAACTTGTTGCCAATCTTCCCCCAAACGATGACATATTTGGTTGATAATGACATCACCGTCACCGAGCAGCTCAACATCGAATTCCAAATGATGCAGCTGTTCACGGTTAATAAGTATTTGTGGTACATTAGCCGGTATAGAGCTGGGTATAAGAGCTACCGGTCGCACTTTAAGGGACGAACCCATAACTATCAGTAAATCACATTTATCTTTATCGCTTGCCATAACTGTATGAAACTCATCAGGTAAACCTGAAGCAATGACGAATGAATGAGTTTATTATTACGATAATAAATACATTTGAAAGAAAAGGCAAAGGGAATAAAGTTGCAATTTATTACTTACACTTTAGGGACATGTTTTTTATTAAAATTATATAATTATTAAATGGGAATTGTTTTCAAACTTGATTTTTTTAAATTTAATAAACATGAAATCGGATTGCCGTGATTCAGTTGATTCAAAATTAACCATTTTAAAATTAAGTTATCCGAATGCTTTAATATTATTTTTCACACATATTACTCACCTTCTCCGAAAAATACAATATCTGGCTTCATAATGCCGTTTTCCACCAGTCGTCTCAATTCAAATTCTGAGACAGGTTGAGAAGCATCAACACTTTGTTCAACATTGGGCTGACAGCGTGGGCACACTGGAATGCGTTGTGCAAATATATCTGCCCGAATGCTATCCGCGTCGCATTTGTACTTGCATTTCGTGCAAGAAGCCGTCGAAAATGAACCATGACATTCAATAACATTTTGTATACCGGCCACCTGCTCTAATGTATCTATGTTTTGGGTGTAATTACGTAACAATTTCTGTTTTTCTTCTAGCATTTTAACGAAGCGGTGGCATGGAGACGGTTTAAATTGCCCGGGGTAAATTTCTCGGGCGAATTTATAAAACGGGCGCGGATCGCGGGAGAAGTAACTAATATCGAACATGGCTTGGGGGTCAGGAAGATCAGGAAAATCCTTTGCAAGACGTGAATAAATGCCATCGCTGGACCTGAAGTCTGGTATGCCACATGATACAGATACTCCCGCACCTGTTAGAACAATAACGTTGTTACATTTTTGGAGCAGCTGGATAACATCATCAAATGTATTAATGTAGGACAATTTCTGTCGTCTGGGTGGTTCTGAAAGCATGCTGGCCAATATCCTCCATAATGTCATATCGGTAAGTTCAGGTGCTATGCGTTGAGCTGAAGTGGGTAAAAATTTGGATAATAATTCTCGGGGATTTGCTCCTGAATGAATTTGTTTTTGCACCCAATTAATGGGCCTTTGGTTTTTGGGTTTCCATTCCTTACCCGACATATCCGATAGACCACTAAGATCCGAAAAATCAGAATCTGATGACGACTCATCCGAGTCCTCTAGATTTTCATCATTTGCATCGTGTTCATGATGCCTGGATATAATTCGGTTATTACTTGAGTTATCATTTTCATCAGTTTGATAACTATCTTCTTCTTCCTCTTCCTCATCAACATCCCGATCATTGCAGTCTTGTTCACTTATGGTCTCTTCTGAGCAGTCCTTGTTATCTGTAGATAAAATATCATGCTGGCAGACCACTGCATTTGTTGTAACAGCGATAGATGTTTGCAAATTGTGTTCGGATGGCGCAATACTCAGTGTTTTGTTTATTTCATAGTTTGTTTTGCTATCTTCTTCGCTAGTTACACTAAGATTTGCTGTGTTTAAAATTTCGGCGCCAAAATTGAAATTTTGTTTATTATGTACTGTCAACTCTTCGACACAAGTAAAAAATTCAGTTTGCTCTTGCAGTTTAACTGGAAGCACATCGTCACTTAATTTAGGCAAACCTTTGCCTTTTATACATGGCTGATCATAGTTTTCCATCATTATGTAGAAAACAAAGCAACAGTCTCCCGGTGTCAATTTAATAATAGGGCAATTGGATAATACTAGAATTTTATTAAGTTCGCTTTCCCTTTCGCTCGTGCTGAAATCGTAAACACTTCTCTCTGTCTTTAACGTTTAACTACAGTTATTTAGTTTTATGACTTTCTACCGTGTTTCGTTGATACACACAAAATTTTTTTCTCGCCTCGGCTATTGCAAAAATTTCCACCCAACTCTGCGATTTTTTTCTTAACATATATTTTTCGGCATATAATTAAATTTTAATATAAATATTTTTAGAAAATTTTTTAATATTAATATTTCTTATTTCTTCGTACTTCTCGCGTATTTTTTAGAGAAATTTTGTGAAAAAACAGCCGTGAGCCGATGTATATTCACAAGTAATGACGTGAAAAAAAATGGCCGTCACAAACAGGGTTGTATATTTTATGTGCTAACCAAAATAGGGTATTTTTTGTATAGAGTGTTATATAACAGTTGAAAGGAATTAAAAGCAAAAATAATAATAACAATACAAATAATCTATTATCTTTAAGCAAATAAAATAAGTGCAAGTGAATTGAAAAACTTGATTGTATTTTCTATTTGAAAAGTTATCTTCATCACATAACATTATAGAGTTACAAGATCTCTACAGCATAGTTATGACTTTTCATTTTTAAGCAAGCCGTTATATATTTCAAATGCAATTATTTTAATATACACTAAATATTGTTCAATCAGTTCACGTTTGCGAAATGTTCTCACAGAATTTTCAATGAATTTTTAAAAATGAATAACTAAAGTTTTCTTCCTTTTTATTTATAGAAAATTGATAAAATTCTTTATGTACACAATTTTCGCATTTCAGGTGAAATTTAATTTTTTAGAACGTTTAAATTACTTTAACTGCAAACTAAATATTTTGTACGCATTTAAGTGCCAAGTGTTCAAGTATTAAGTGCTGTGTCATTAAATTCAATATTAAATTGTTTATACGAATTTATTACATTACATTTGAATATATATAACGCTTAATCATGCAAGAGAAACGGTTGTACATCAGTACAATGCATTACGGATACGTTAATGAACCCATCAATATTTTAACGTAGTGGGACGTAATTTCAAGTGAACACTTTTTTTGAGGTAATCATATTTTTCTCCAAATTCATGTATAACTTCTAACATTGGCAACATTGCTGCTCTTGTCTCTAGGGAAAAAAGGCAAGACAGAAAATTTTTAGCAAGTTTAACAATTTTATTTTATTTATAAATTTAATTTTTTATTTAACGAGGTGTTAAATATTACGCCGCTGCATATATATCTATTTGTGCATAAAGCAAGATAATCAGAAAAACAAATTTGAAGAAAATTTGTCTATTCTGACGAAAGTATGGAAAATTTGGATTTATATGAAATTCTTGGCGTTACAAAAAACTCAACAGATGCAGAAATAAAAAAGGTAAAAATATGGTTGAAAAGACTTTATTAAAAATTAAAGAATGATTGTTGAAAATACAAAAAATGGCTCTGCAAAAATTACGTTAATTGATCCCAGCTTCTTGACAATGTTGTTTTTATTGTTGCAAATAATTCATGTGTGAAAATGTATAGATTATTTTTTTTTGCAATTGTATTTAAGGTGCGATTTGTTTTGTTTTCTTTTCTCCCTTGCACTATAAAACTTCACTTCTGGTAATGCTGTCTCAATAAACAATGCTTCGATGTTTATATTCTTATTGATAATTATTTTTTTCATTGTAAATAGAATTACCGTAAATTGGCTAAAGAATTCCATCCGGATAAAAATCCAAATGCTGGTGACAAATTTAAAGAAATTTCTTTCGCTTATGAAGTTCTTTCGGATCCAGAAAAACGTAAAGTATACGATCGTCATGGTATTAAGGGTTTGCAGGAAGGTGCCGATGGTTTTTCTGATGCCGGTGAATTTTTTGCCCAGTGGTTTCCGTTTAGTAACCTAGGCGGACATTCTCGCGAAGGTCGAGGGAAAGTTGGTCAAATTGTAATAAAATTGGAAGTTTCTCTGGAGGAAATCTATAATGGCAATGTAGCTAAAACGATTGAATATAAACGCACGTCGTTTTGTTCCGAATGCCACGGAGATGGTGGCCCCAAGGAGGCTCAACAGAAATGTACTCAATGTAACGGTGTCGGTCGTATGGCAAGTTATGCATTTATGGGTTTAACAGCTGTGGAGACTGTAAGCGGAAATATACGATAAAGTTATCTTCAGAAAAACGAAAGATAATATTAATTTCAGATTTGTTCGGTTTGTCATGGTCGTGGTAATGTTATAGCTGAAAATCTTCAATGTGGTACGTGTCATGGCAATGGTTTGGTCGAAGAATTGGCTAAACGTGAAATTACTGTGGAAAAGGGTGCACCGCATATGCTGAAAATACCGTTTCCTTCGGAGGGTCATCAAGGTTTGCAGGGCTCCCGCGGTGATTTAATAGTGGTACTTATACAAACTGAACACACACTGTTTCAGCGACGGCACAATGATCTCATAATGCGTAATATACACGTTAACCTCACTCAGGCTTTATGTGGATTTGTGCATTGTTTTAAGCATTTGGATGGCCGACAAATATGCGTAGCGACCCGTCCGGGTGAAGTAATACGTCACGAGGAATTAAAAATGATACCTGGGGAAGGTATGCCGTTGCGTAATAATCCCTTCGACCGTGGTGATTTGTTAATACATTTTATGGTGGATTTTCCGGAAAACGGTTTCGCCACATCCGAACAGTTAGAAATGCTAGAAACTCTACTGCCACCAAGAGAACCTTTCACTATGCCAGAAGAGGCCGAAGAAGTTTTATTAGTCGATGTACAACCACGAACCGAAGATAGCCGCGGTGCTCATGGCGGCGGTCACGAAGATGACGATGAGTTTGATGGTAATACTCATTTCGAAAGAGTTCAATGTCAAACCGGTTAAATAAAATAAAAAAAACAAAAAAAAGAAAACAAAAAACAATATTGTACAACATAAACAATAACACTAGAAAAACATTATGGCAAAGCTTAAGATGTTTAGTTGTATTAAAACGAAAAATTAAAAATTCCGTGTAGTGTAGTTAACAAATAAATTCACAAAAAGAACAAAAAAAAAAAAAAACTAAGTGAATAATAATTGGCATAATTATACTTAAATAAAAATTGAAAAAAAAAAAAAAATACTACAAGAAAAGCTTTAAGCTTTTTATAAAAAAAAAAAAATTGAATTTCTATGTTTATGTTTTGCTTATACACCAAAATAAAAATTATAAAAATTAACTTAGTTATACTTTATTTTATATGAAATCTTTAAATTAAATTAATTTAGTCCTTTGAAAATTACGAAACTTTTATTATTTTGAAGCTTTCGAATTTTTACACATTTTTTTAATATACCTTATTTATTTATTTATTTACGTATCAATTTAATAACCGAAAGCATAGTTAAGAACAACAAACAAAAGAATATAACAAAACTGTGAACTAAAAAGATTGCTAATAATATAAATGGTTTTATTTTTATTTACATTTATTTATTCATTTATTTCATTGTTATTATCATTCGATATTTTGTTTTTACTTTTGCGATTTTCCATCGAAAGTACCCATTGGCGATTGAAGAAAGTCGGCGATGTCTCAAATCGCGCGTCATTTGACGAGACAAATTGCGAATCGTCTTATTTGCAAGATTGCGTTTCAATAAGAAACGACACTTTTCGTTCTTTTTTTCCCGTCATCGTTGAAAAAATAACTATTGTTACGGAATGATCACCATAGAGAGAAATGGTTCCAGACTACTTGATTTAATAATAAATATAATAAACCTATTTAAACCTGTTAATTAATAGTTTGGAATAAGCCACACCGAATCTAATAATTTAGATTTATAGATAAATTAGATTTAGAATCTAATAATTTAGATTCGAATAAAGTGAAAAATTGCAAAAATTTGTTACGTACAACAAGCGTACCCGCCAATATCGTCAGCGAGGTGCAGATTTTCCTCTACTGTGAAAAATATTCCCGACTTGCAAACTATTTCATACATGTTTATATTCGTAAATATTCCAGACAGCGCAATTGTATACATGTTTATTACATGAATAATAATAAAAATGCCCAAACTTTCAAATATGTGAAAAAAAGCACAAAAAAGAAGAACGGAAGAAATTTTCTGATTTGATTGTGTTGGTGTCTACTCGCAAAAGTGTTGTATGATAGTTTTGTGTGCAGTATGTTGGCATTTAATAAATGTCTTAAGAATGGTGTCCAACGTATTCTCTTCGCCAATTATAAGAGACAAGTTATTGCACTCTTCTTCTTACGTAAGTGACCTGTGGTGTCTATTGGAAGTAATTGCATAGCGACCTGGACAAACTTGATGTTCTAGCCACATTAGGCAAAAATAAATTCACATATGTTGGATGGAACTAATTCAACGTAAGGCCGACCACAGGTGGCTAGTTTAAATACGAACACGTATTATTCTGAAATATCTAAATAAACAATTCAAATAAGTGTCGAAACTTAGAACCAGTTCAAAAGAACTGAACGAAGAAGAAGGGTCGCCATCTTTCACAAACTTGAAGTAGGACGTGCCCCAGCGTGCAATGTTTCGAATCGATTCATCGACTTATTTTCACGTTTTTAACTGAAAAAGTTTACCACAATTTTAACCGAAAGGTGACAAGTGGCCACAAGATTTTATGTTGTTTATGTCTTCAGTATTAATAAATTTTCGTTCAGAACTTTAGCCCTTTACAAATGATTGTACATCGACCACTTCCAAGATCAAAAAAGAATAATGTTTTAGAGTTATATAGAAAATAATATATCATACAAGTTTTAGTTGATCGTTTTCGATATCGAACAATCAAACGATAACAAAACGGTAGCAGCCGTTGTGTGTCGTATGATGTGTGACGTAACCTATATCGCAGGAAAAAACGATTTAACTATGCCGGGCTAAGACGTGCCCCTGTTTTTATAACGGATTCTGTTATGACGGGCTTCTCTTATGAGAATCTTGAGAATGATTAAAATGCTGTTGTTACTATTATTATTATTATTCAAATAGTGGAAAATTAGTTACAATGCTTTGTTTATAACAAATTCAGAATGAGAAATGTAAAAATAAAATTAATAAAAACAATTCAATAACAAATCGTAGCAACAGCGACAGACGCCCAGGGGTTGTAATATAAAATTGCATTTTTTAGGAACTGACGCCATAATCACGCATAAAAACTCAGCGTAGGCGATAGACCTCGCAGTTACTGCGAATTTGTGGTAGTCTAATAACCCGACAGTTTCAGGTTAGCCTTGCCGGAAGGTAAACATCAATGTCACTCAATAAAAATGGTGAATTACACTCACCGGACAGCACTTTTATAATAAACGAAACGCCTAGTCTATGTCTACTTTCAGGTTTAGGAAGGTGAATACGCTTCAGATGATTCTCATAGGGAAGCTGCGGTATTGCCGGATTCTGTGTCAAGCCACGCAATGCAAATTTTGTAAAAACTTTTTGCACACACTCAATCTGATCAAGAGAGCATCGGCAATTCGGCAACCACACCACCACGGAACTCTCCAATAGAGGTCTAACAAGTGCGGCGAATAACCTCTTACTCTTAATGTAAGGATCGTTAAATTCGTACGACCAACGTGTAATAAATCTCAGCAGAGCGGATTCTTTGTTAACGGAAGGTTGGATCTATAATCCAAAGCTCAATTTAGAATCGAATATAGCCACAAATCCGTGCAGTTCGGATCAGACAATCCTTCTGAGTGTTGGATTCCCACTTTCGTTACATGGTTATACTCTACACTACTCGTGGTAAAGAGTATATTAAGTTAGTGCGGACGTACGTAACACTCAGAAGAGCTTAAGATGGACGTACTTGTTAACATACCGATCGATGCAGAATCATTTTCTAAATCAATCTAAGGCTGTCGGTCCCTATGATATCTGTCCATGTAATTTGTATTCGAGCTGCAGATCCCAATTTTGATTAAATTTAGCGCAGTGACGTGTTTCGAGCAAGGAACGAACGCTATTGAAAATTGTTCGGATCGGTCTAAATTTGCGACCACTCCTCATATATCGTCCTGTTCTGAAAACTGGTTACAAGGAAATAAATTGCAATTTTCAAAATTTCTTGGCAAAAGTGGCTAAATAGTAGTATTTAGGCATTCTAAATTGGTATGAAAACATTGGAATGGCTGGGGTTATTTTTGAATCTCATCTCATATAACAAAAATTATAGTTTATGCGAAAAAAAGGTATAATTTTCACTGGTTCATCATGAGAATTATATTATCATAGTAATTTAACATAAAAAAATGAACTGTTTATTTTTTGGACCCAACCTTAATAAGGATTTTAACGAATATTGATTGATTGATCCTTTATAGAGCAGAAAATTATAAGTTGTCATATTCGATGATGAAAATTGGTCCATAATAGTAAATTAACATAAAAAAGTTTTTGGACCATTTACGCCTATTTCTGAAATTCTGCTCTACGTAAGGATTTCATCAAAGGTGTGGGTTTTTATAGTTAATGTGTAATTTTTGTGTACGAGTGAACAACTATCCTAGGCGAAATGGTATAGGGTGTGGAGTGATTGGCGTTGCCCCACTATAATGTTATTACTTATTTTGTCCGTTGCTACGGCATTTGTTACACTTGTGTTTTTTTGGCAGGCAGTTTCAAGCGACGTGTCGAAACCATTGCAAGTCGATGTTTTCTTTACTGCTTACATATAAATTGCATCCAATTTTATCTATGATGTATACAGAACTACCTTTAGATCTTTTTAATGCTTTACTCACTCAGCATCGATGATAGCGGCGTTGTCGTGATAGTCGCTTATAAATTGCATAATGAGCCGATTCGTAAAATATAGTTACGAATCTTCTGACATATGAGTTGGAAGTGTATACAAGACATATGCTTATTTACCATAAAATCGAGAAAGAGTAATGGAAATTAACTGCATTCCATAGCAGATATTTTTCTCTTTAGTCTCATTGCTCATATCTAAAAGAGATTACGAATGTGTACATAAATTGTTATTACAGTCACGTGCAAGTTTGCAAACAAATAGTAACGTGCCGTAGACTACAAGTGGTTTGCAATGTTACTATGCCTTGCTAATGCGAATATGCGGAATGCGGCAAACATTAGTTTTTGGAGTTCTTACTCTTCAAAAAAAAAAAGGAGTTGTTAATTTGCAATAACAAAGAGTTAGCACAAGTCAATAAACGATATAGTGCGAGCCCTGCTTTCGGTAGCTGCGAAGGCACTGATAATTCGATTTTACCCTATTTACTGATTTAGACAGCAGTAACATATAATATGGAAAGTTTTTGTCGTTAAAATGAATGCAAGGAATGTGCTACTGTCAATTTATAGCTGTCGATATTGGGTAAAGTCGATGGTAATTTTTATATCCATTACTGAAGGATGAGAGAGGTATATTCATTTTATGAAACTGTTTGCAATGCACAGAAAGCAACTTCAGAGATCCCTTAAAAGTGCATATATTCTGGATAAGCATCAAATTCGGAATCGTTTTAAGCAGGCCCGTTTGTCCCTCTGTGTAATGTCTGTGTATCGGTATATCGCTATCGACTTCAAATTTGACAAAAGTATTGCAAGCTGTTATACCCAGCTTGGTATCGAAAATGAGTTAAATCGGTCGAAGGATAGGCCTACAGTAATACGTAAACTGAGAACACCTTTGCTTTTCAAAAGAAATACAAAATTTGAACGTATGTTCTATTGTAAGTATATAAAATCTTGGCCAGTTCCACATTCGGAATGCATCGAACCATATCCGTCTGTTTGTGTTCGATCAAGTGTACGCCATTTTACGTGATAAATAGGTAATGAATGACGCGACACACGTTATCGTAAGATCTTTGGGTTGGTTGGCAATATACCTTCAGGACGTTCTGTCAACTAAGCCGTGTTTGAAGTGATGGAATAACAAACTATGAATCGAAATTAAAATGCTCCGGTTGGATTCATAAAAGATGGAAAGCGCAGCGTCACTCTCCTTGCAAGATTAATCTGTAAAATTTGGCACTAGCACGTATGACAGGATGTCAGTCCTTCGGTCAATATTCGCAAAGGCTAAGCTTACCATTCGGGAATAGTCGA